TGCCTGCAAAATTTGGTGTCGTTTGGAGTTGATTTGATAAGGTTCGGACGCACGGTTGCAATTCTAGAGGTTCTTGGAGTTCATAGTGATTTTAATGCATCTGGGCATCTGATTCGTGTTCTTAGAGATGTTTGAAGTGATTTGAGAGTGGGGCTAAGTTCATATGATGTTATGGGATGTGTTGGTACATTTGGTTGAGGTTCCGGGGGCCCCGGATGAGTTTCAGGGTGAATTTTGAGCGAGTCCAGGTATTTTGGTATTCTGAGATGGTTCTAGCACTTTTGGGTGTGCGGACCGCACCAAAAATATGCGGACCGCACTAAAATTTCGCTGACCTCAGTGCGGACCGCACATCAAGATGTTCTGCAGGATCGCTAGTACGACTTCAGAAGGTTATATCTTTTGATCTACAAGAAATTTTGAGATGATTCAAAAATAAAAGTTGTAGCTCATCGTGTCTAGTTTCCATAAAGTTAAAGAAAGCACATTGTGGACATATGTAGAGAAAGTTATGGCCAAAATACTAAAGCATGTCGCTGCAGTCAACATTCTCCGCGGTCAGCGGTGATGGACTTGGACCGCGGTCAGTAGTGGTTTTTGTGTGGTCAGCAGTGATGGAAATATGTGAGGTTCACTATAAATACGAGTTTTAGAGTTTCATTTCATATTTTGACCTAGAAATCTTGGATCTAGGCAATATTTCGAAGGGTTTTCAAGAAATTCATTGGGGTAAGTGATTCTAACTCGGATTTAGCTAGAATACATGAATCTATCATTGAATTCATCATTTGATTCGTGATTTGGGATGGAATTTGTGAAAAATTGTGAGATCTTTTAAAAATATAAAAATGATGATTTGAAGGACCAAATGGTATCGGAATTGGATAATTTTTGTATTGGTGAACTCGTATCGGAATGGGTATTCGATTTTTGTAAATTTTGTCAGGTTCCAAGGTTTGGGCCTGGGTAGTTGACTTTTGTTGACTTTTTGCAGATTATATAAGAATCATAGTTTTATTAATTGGAATTATTTTTCTCTTGCATTGTTAGATGTATTCAAGTCGTTTTTGACTAGATTGAGCCGAGCATTGATGAATTGGTAAAGGAAAAGCTAAATTGAGTATTGAATTGCCGGATTGAGGTAAGTATCTTGCCTACCCTTATGTGGGGGACTTCCCCTTAGGAATTGAGTCTTCTATGCTAATTGTAGTCCATGCATGCGAGGTGACGAGTGTGTGCTCAGACTTATTTATGGAAAATTTGCCTCTAGAGTTCTTAGGTCCTTATGTGGAAAGTATCTCATTATGATTGGGTTTCTTAATTGCTTAAATTGCCTCTATATGCTCCATATCACGTTGTTAGATCTCCTTTAATTCTTACGTGCTACATAGACCCTTAATTGCCTTAATTGAAGTGATTGCCTTCCTTATTGTTTTGATACTTCTTGGTTGTGAGTTCCTCTATGACTTCGTATAAATATGTTACATGTCCAATTGTTGTGGTTACCGGTGTAGTTATCACGTGCTTATTATGTCTTGTTGTTTGTTGAGGTTATCGTGCTTCTTGGTTTTTCCGTGACTCTTATTATGTACATATTGTTTCCCTTGTCGGGATATTGTTGTTATACTATTGTTCCCTTGCCGGGAAGTTATTATTTACGATATTGTCTCCTGATAATAGGTGAATTTAACTATAATTAGGCCCTAAATAACCACCTTCTTGTATAGTTTGGATGATAAAAGTGATAACAAAATGCTCTTATTAGTGTTTTTCATGCTTTGCAGGTTATATATGACCAGAGAAGGCTATGGAGTACTTTTGGGATCAAATATGGAGAAAAAGAGGCCGATCGTAAAATTCCGTTAAGTAAACCACACGAAATAGCTCAAGTCAGAACTGAAAGAGGACTGCCGCGGTTCCACCGCGACCGCGGCAGAACTGCGGTAGAAGATGGCTGCAGACAAAGTGAGAATCAGAGAGCATGTTTGGCCGCGGTTTGACTGTGACCGCGGCAGAACCGCGGCAGAGGCGGAGAACTTCAGGGACTAAAGTTCAAAACATGGGATTTTTAGCCCAAAACCCTATTTTAAACATTAGACTTCGCCCAAGAGAGGCAAGTATTGATTTGGAGAGTATTTTGGCAAGGAAAAACAATTGTGAGAGATCACCCAAAACATCTTTCTTCTTTTCTTTGATTTTTCTTGCAAGTTTTATGATGAATATTGTTTTAGTTTGTTTACCCATAGTTGAGTAGCTAAATCCTTTGTCTAAGATTTTGATGGAACCTATTGGGAGATGAACTTCTTGTTTATGTGAATACAAATTGCTAGTCTCAATCTTTATTTGTTCAACTTTGTGCATGTTGTAGTTAATTAACAAGATCCTCAATTAGCTGTGCCTATTTAGTGTGCATAACTCGGGAGATAATGCATATTTAGGTTATTGTTGAACAACACCACTCCCAAAGTATAAGAGGGATCTATAACTGCGGGTTTAAAGGCGGGATTAGGGATAACGAAGCCTTGAGTGCAATCTAAAGTGAACCGTGTTAATTAGAGCTAGCTAGTGTATCTCGGGAGAGTGCATTGAGTATATTACTGTGATTACTCGGGAGAGATTTACGGTAAGATGAGCGTTCATGATTGATAGAGAGGTGTTGGTCAATTTGTATGAAGCATAAACAGAAGGGATTCTATCAATATGGGAAGTCATTACCTTTGCGTTTTCTCATTATTGTTTACAACCTTAGCATCCTTAGTTTACAGCTGTTTATTTACTTGCAATTTTAGTTATTGAAGACACCATCAACTATGATTCAAACGTTTGGGGAAATTGGTTCTCAAGAGTTTAGTGGGTCTAAAGATAGTGATTGATAGGTTAACTCTCTGTGGATTCGACTCTGGGCAGAATACTCAGGTTATATTTGCAACGTCCGCATGGCCCTTTTTATAAGGCATAGTTGGGCGTGATCAAATATTGGCGCCGTGGCTGGGGAGTTAACGGAATTATCAATTACCATTGATAGAAATACAAAAATTCTTAGTGTAGTAAGTTTTCTTTACACCAAATTTTTGATTGAAATTTTTGACGGTTGTTGACGTGGTTGCACAGGTGTATGCCTAGAAACTCTACAAGGACTGGAGAACTACTTAAAGGACTCTCAGACCCCGAGAAAATATTCCGGATATTGAACCGTGCCAACAAAAGACTTCAACAACCTCATCAAACACACAAACCCAAAATTGACATGGGTGACGTAGACAACGTCAACGGAAATGTCAGAGATATGGCACCTCCTGTGCCTGAGGCTGCACTATATGACTGGGCACAACCCACAGCTGACAATCTGGCCACTGCCATTGTTGTGCCCACGATACAAGCTGAATCGTTCCAGATCACGAACAACATGCTGCACTTGCTGCAAAACAAGAGACTATTTTCTGGGACACCAACCGAAGATCCTCAGCAGCACTTGAAGAACTTCCTGTCGATTTGCAAAACTCAAAGGCAACCCAACGTAACTCTGGAAGCAATCAAGCTGTTATTATTTCCATTCTCGGTGACAGGAGCTACTCAGGTCTGGCTAAACTCACTCCCCATAAACTCTATAGAAACTTGGGATGAGTTAGTCAAGCAATTTCACATCAAGTTCCACCCGCCCAACAAAACAGCTCAACAAATTGATGAGATCGTGAGCTTTAAACAGAAACCAATGGAGACACTACATGAGACATGGAGCTGGTTTAAAGGAATGTTGGTTATATGCCCACACTATGGTATTCCAGATCAGATGTTGGGACAACGATTTTACATGGGACTGTCAGATAGCATGAAGAACATTGTAGATGCCTCAGCTGGTGGGGCATTTTTGAGTAAAATTTGGAGAGAAGGTCAGAGTCTGCTTGATAAAATGGCTCAGAATTCGTGGTGGACGACGAAGAATGCACCTATCACTCCAGTAGTGCACTCAGTGCCTTTTGACCCATCAAATTCCATGGCTGAAAATGTGGCGACCCTCTTGACACAGATGAGCATACTCACCAAAAAGGTGGAGGAATCAGGGCAGAAACAGCAAGTGCACATTGTAGATACTACCAATGGGGGCTTGTGCACATCTTGCATTAGTCATCCAATTGGTAATCCTTGGAATGCAGAACATGATCATCATTATCAACACCCTGAAGACATGAACTATGTGTCAAACCATGGAGGCCAGAGACAGGGCAATCAGAATTGGGGTCAGCAAACTCAGCAGCCATACAGACCACCTCAGCCACAGTACAACGCTAGAAGCATGGGAGGTATGAGACCTCCCAACAGTATGACACCTTATCCAAGGCCACAGGGGTACAACAATCAGCAGCAAGGGTATCCCCCACCTCAGCAACAGCATGGTGGAAGGAAAGAAGATGGGTTTACTAGACTTGAAGCAATGATGCAGCAGGTTATTGGGTCCAATGCAAAAATAAATGAAAGAGTAGATGCACATGACGCAGCAATCAAAAATATTTGAAGTGCAATTGGGCCAAATTTCAATGTCTTTGAACAATCGTCCTCAGGGGACATTACCTGCAGACACCCAGATTAATCCAAAAGATCAGGGCCCAAAGCAGTTGATGGCGGTGAGTCTCCGTAATGGTAGGGATCTAGATGTAGAACAAGAGAGAACTCGAGAAAATATACAGGCTGAGACATTTATTCCAGTGCCCATTGAGCTGGATGAGTCTACGATACTGACAGAGGTGACAGTCCAGCCTGCTCAGGAAGAAAAGAACATTCAGCAGGAGACCGAGAAAGTAGCTGAGCCAGTAGTTGAAATAGTAGCTGATAAAGAGAAGTCCCAAGTGATTGGGAAGAATAGACCTCCTGCACCCTTTCCACAGAGGCTGGCCAAGCATCAAAAGGAGGAGCATTATAAAAAGTTCTTTGAAATGCTCAAATAAATCTAGGTAAATATTCCACTGATTGAAGCTTTAAAGGAGATGCCTGGGTACGCAAAAATGATGAAGGACTTGATGTCCCGGAAATTTGATTTTCAAGACTTGGCTACGGTTACACTTACTCAGACCTGTAGTGCAGTGGTGACGAGACCTATTGCTGAAAAGCTGTCTGATCCAGGTAGCTTTACAATTCCATGCACTATTGGGAATTTCGCCTTTGCTAAGGCACTCTGTGATTTTGGGGCCAGTATTAATCTTATGCCCCTGACTATCTATAAAAGGTTGGGTATTGGGAGAGCTAGACCCATCTCCATATTGTTGCAGCTGGCCGACAGGACTGTGAAGCATCCATTCGGGATCCTTGATGATGTGCTTATTCAGGTGGGGAAATTTGTGTTCCCTGCAGATTTTATGATCTTGGATTGCAAAGTGGATGAAGAGATTCCTATAATCTTAGGAAGACCATTCTTGACCATAGGGAGAGATCTGATTGACTGTGAGACTGGGGAGCTCAAAATGAGACTCAATGATGAGGAAATAACATTCAATGTGCAGAAGTCTATGAGGCGACCAAGCGAGTTCGCCAATTGCTCTCTTATTGATGTCGTGGATGTAATTGTAGAGTCTGATGATGAGGTGTTGACAATTGAGGACCCCCTTGCTGCATGTTTGATGAACTTAGATGAAGTGAATGGTGAGGATTTGGCGGAATGGGTGTTGGCATTGGAAGGTAGAGGGTTCTGGGAGAGAAATCTAGAGTTTGAGCCCTTGCACTTAGAAAAGAGAGAAACTCCTCCAGCTAAGCCATCCATTGAAGAACCACCAAAGCTGGAGTTAAAGCCATTGCCAGCCCACCTCAGGTATGAATTTCTGGGACCTGACTCCACATTACCTGTTTTTATCTCATCTAGTTTGTTAGATGTGCATGTTCAAAAACTTTTACAGGTACTAAAGGAGTGCAAAACTGTCATGGGGTGGACCATGGCAGATATTAGGGGGATCAGCCCCGCCTACTGCATGCACAAGATTCTGCTGGAAGAGGGGCACAAACCTTCCAGGGAACATCAGAGGAGGCTGAACCCCAACATGAAGGAAGTGGTGAAGAAGGAGGTGATAAATTGGTTGGATGCGGGAATTATTTTCCCAATCTCTGACAGCAGCTGGGTGGGCCCAGTGCAATGTGTTCCTAAAAATGGTGGCATGACGGTTGTGACAAATGACAGAAATGAATTGATCTCAACAAGTATCGTCACAGGCTGGAGAATTTGTATCGACTATCGAAAGTTGAATCTACCCACCCGGAATGACCACTTCCCATTTCCCTTCATTGATCAGATGTTGGACAGATTGGCAGGGAGGTCACACTTCTATTTTCTGGATGGGTACTCAGGGTACAATCAGATCTCCATTGCACCGGAGGACAGAGAGAAGACCTCCTTCACATGCCCGTATGGCATTTACGCCTTTAGACGGATTCCCTTTGGCCTATGCAACGCACCTGCCACATTCCAACGGTGCATGATGGCCATATTCACTGACATGGTTGAGGACATAATGGAGGTGTTCATGGATGACTTCTCAGTGGTGGGGAATTCATTTGATGAGTGCCTGATAAATCTGACGCGTGTGCTGAAACGGTGCATCGAGACTAACTTGGTTCTGAACTGGGAGAAGTGCCATTTCATGGTACAATAAGGCATAGTCTTGGGGCACCGGGTGTCAAGCAAGGGAATAGAGGTAGATCGCGTGAAAGTTGATGTAATAGCAAAGCGCCTCAACCAACTTCAGTCAAAGCCGTCAGAAGCTTCCTTGGACATGCCGGTTTTTATCGGAGGTTCATAAAAGACTTCTCCAAAATCGCCAACCCTTTCTATAAGTTGTTAGAAAAAGATCACCCGTTTTCGTTTTTTGATGATTGCAGGGTAGCATTTGAGGAGTTGAAAAAGAGACTGGTCACAACACCCATCATTGTTGCCCCCAACTGGGAGCAACCGTTCGAACTAATGTGTGATGCCAGTGACTATGCAGTGGGAGCAGTGCTGGGCCAGCGGAAAGACAAACTGATGCACCCAATCTACTATGCTAGTAGAATGCTGAGTGGAGCCCAGTTGAACTACATTGTGACTGAAAAGGAGATGTTGGATGTAGTGTTCGCGTTTGACAAGTTCCGATCCTACCTGTGTTACAACCCATATCCACACGCGTTAGTTCATGCCATATATTAGTTAAAATAATCCAAGAAGGAATTACCTTTGAGATGATAAGAAGTTAATCCTATTGGTCTTAAGTGATACAAGGGTTTATAAGGGTGATTAACAAGTATTAGAAGTTAAACGAATCAAGGATGTTGTAACTCGTATTTTCAGGTAAACCTAGAGGTTCTTAATACACTCAAGGTCATGTATTAAGGTGTTTGAATCATATAATATCTGTATCATACGTATTGAATTCAAACGAGTTATGGAACAAAAGTCGACAAACGTTGTCGCAACTTAGGTTCATAATTTTACTTAAACATTAGATTAAATGTTACTAAGCTTTTCTCCTAATTTACAAGGAATTACGGGGTGATCTACCCACAAAATTAAAGATATACGAGTCTAGTTTCCAACGCATTAAACCTTTTGTCAATACAATCTTGGAGTATAGAGATATTCATATTTTCGCAAGCCTGCGCAGATTGGTAGATGACAAGTAGGTGCATCATCTACTTGCCAAAATGATAGGACAACATTAAAAGACCTAAGTCCGCCAAGAGAGGACTTTTAAGGGGTTATGAACTCAGTTATTTCATCATATTTCAGACCCTCAAAACCAAAGTTAACCCCTGCAACTCCTCCCCAAAAATCCCACACAAACCCTAATCGATTTTCCCTCTCTTTCAAGTTCTATTTGAAGGTAAAACCTAGAGTTTGAAGAACCAAGGGAAGGGCTGAGTTATCCAACAAGTAAGGTAAGTTACTNCACTGATCAGTTGGGTTTTACCGAGCTCCACGTGGCCGGGTACGATTCTACCGAGCCTTATGATGACCGGGTACGTTTTTACCAAGCCTATTATGGATGGGTACGATATGATGATGATGATTCCCACAGAGGCGTATGTTTTAAAAGTTTATGTATACATACATATGTATCATGCATTTCATGCCAGTAGCCCTTAGAGGTACTAAGAAGTTCCAGGTTGTATATTCTCTATCCCTGGTTACATTACTGTTCGTATTTATGGTTCCCTGCCTTACATACTCAGTACTTTGTTGGTACTGACGTCCTTTTTGTTTGTGGACGCTGCATGTCGTGCTGCAGGCCCTAATATACAGGCAGGTGCAGCTCCCCCACCACAGTAGGTTGTCCAGTTCTGCAGTGATTGGCGAGATCCCTTCTCTGGACTTGCCGTGGTCTTGGTATGCATTTTTGTTATAGACATTATGGGTATGTCGGGGCCCTGTTCCGGCTATGTTGCAGCACTTATGTTCATTTAGAGGCTCATAGACAAGTGTCGACTCATGTATAGTTTGGTATGCCTTGTCGGCTGGTTTTTGTTGTATAGTCTTTCATGGTAGCGTGGGTGCTCGTACCTTATATGTAGTTTCTTTATTGTCTGGTCATCCCCTGCTATGTATGTTCATGCCATCATATTTTATTGCTGGTTGTCCATGATCCAGGTCTAC